ATGGTAAGGCCTTAAGGAGTATAGTGGAACAGAGGGACCTTGGAGTTCAGGTGCACGGTTCTCTGAAAGTGGAGTCACAGGTAGACAGGGCAGTGAAGAAGGCTTTTTGCACACTAGCCTCCATTAGTCAGGGCACTGAGTATAGAAGTTGGGAAGTTATGATGCAGTTGTACAGGATGTTGGTGAGGCTGCACTTGGAGTATCGTGTTCAGTTTTGGTCACCTTGCTGTAAGAAGGATGTTATTAAACTGGAAAGAGTGCAGAAGAAATTTACGAGGATGTTGTCAGGACTCCAGCGACTGAGTTATAGGGAGGTTGGACAGGCTAGGACATTTTTCTTTAGAGCATAGGAGACTGAGGTGGGGAGTGGAATCTTATCAAAATGTACAAGATCATGAGAGGCATGGATAGGGTGAATGCACTCTTTTTTTTTTCCCAGGTTGGGGAATTGAGGACTAGAGAGTATCAATTTAAAGTAAGAAGGGAAAGAGTACATGGGAACCTGAGGGGCAACTTTTTTACGCAGAGGGTGGTACGCATTTGGAATGAGCTGCCAGCGGAAGTGGTTGAGGCAGGTACATTAACAACATTTAAAAGGCATTTGCACAAATACATGGATAGGAAAGGTTTAGAAGGATATGGGCCAAGTGCAGGGAAATGGGGTTAGCGTGGATGGACATTTTGGTCAGCATGGACCAGTTTGGGCCGAACAGCCTGTCTCTGTGCTGTAGAACTCTGACTCTATGACTCTAAAATACAGTGAAAAATATATACCATTGGCATGCATAGGCGCCATTCTTATTAACTTAAAATAAAATAAAAAAATACAGAAAGAAAGGTCTAAACTTGCTTAAGGTCCATTTTCCTACCTGCTCTCCATAACTCTTCAACTTATTACTGTCTGTCTCCTTAAATTTACTCATTATCCCAGCATCCACTGTACTTTGGAGTAGTGAATTCTATGGATTCGCGATCTTTTTAAAGAAGTAATTCCTCCTCATCTGTTTAAAATTTGCTACCCCTTATCCTAAAAATATGACCTCTTATCCTAGATTACCCCATATAAGGAAAATCTTCTCTAAATCTACTTTGTCATTCTCCTTTAGCATCTTATATACCTCAATTAGATCTCTCGTTCTTCTAAAGAGAGTGCTGGCTTCAACTGGTCAATATCTTGTCATAAGACAAAACCCTCACCTCTGCAATTAATCTAGTGAGCTTTCTCTGAACTGTCTCCAATACAACAGCATAGAAACAGAGAAGATAGGAGCAGGAAGAGGCCATTCAGCCCTTCAAGTTTGCTCTGCCATTCTTCACAATCATGGCTGATTGTCCAACTCAATAGCCTAATCCTGCTTTCTCCCCATAAGCTTTGATCCCCTTCACCCCAAGTGCTATATCTAGTCACCTCTTGAATATATTCAATGTTTTGGCATCAACTACTTCCTGTGGTAATGAATTCCACAGGCTCACCACTCTTTGGGTGAAGAAATGTCTCCTCATCTCCGTCCTAAATCGTCTATCTCGAATCCTCGTACTGTGACTCTTGGTTCTGGACACACCCACCATCGGGAACATCCTCCCTACAACTACCTTGTCTGATCCTGTTAGAATTTTCTAAGTCTGTATGAGATTCCCCACCCCCTGCCATTCATCTGAACTCTAGCAAAAATAATCCCAACCTAGTCAATCTCTCCTCATACGTCAGACCCGCCATCCCTGGAATCAGCCTGGTAAACCTTCGCTGCACTCCCTCGAGAGCAACAGCATCCTTCCTCAGAAAAGGAGACCAAAATTGCACACACTATTCCAGGGGTAGTCTCACCAAGGCCCTTTACAAGGAGAGCATAATTTGACGCAATATTCCAGGTGCAGTCTCACAAATGCTTCTACAGTTCCAGCAACACTACCCTACTCTGATACTATTTCTTTCACAATAAATGCTAAAATTCCATTTAGTCTCCTTTGACTGTTGTACCTGTATACCAGTTTTGTGATTATACATGAGAACACCCAGATCCCTCTGCACTGAAACACTGTAATGTTTCTGCACATTCAGATAATAGATTCCCCTTCTTTTCCTCCAACTAAAATGGATAATCTCACATGTATCCACCTTAAACTTCATCTGCCGAATTTTGCCGTATTGATCTAACTTATTCATATCCATTTGTAAATTTCCTATTTCTTCATTGCAACTTACTTTCCAGTCTTTTTAGTGTAATCTGCAAATTTGGCTACAGTACTTTCTATCCACAAATCCATGAATCTAGATTGTAAATAGAAGTTGCTGGAAAAGCTCAGCAGGTCTGACAGCATCTATGAAGAAAAAAAATCAGAGTTAACGTTTCGGGTCCAGTGACCCTTCCTTAAAACTGGAAGAGCTGGTGGAAGGGTCACCGGACCCGGAAAGTTAACTCTGATTTTTCTTCTTCATAGATACTGCCAGACCTGCTGAGCTTTTCCAGCAACTTCTGTTTTTGTTCCTGATTTACAGCATCTGGAGTTCTTTTGGTTTTTATGTAGATTGTAAATAGTTGGGGCCCAAAGATTGAACCCTGTGACACCTCACTAATAGACCCATTTATTCCCAAATCTCTGCTCTTTGTTGGTTAGCCAATCCTCTAGCCAAGCTAATAAATTGCACCAAATCCCATATGATGTTACCTCACATATCAACCTTTTGTGCAGCACCTTATCGAATGCTTTCTGGAAGTCCAGTTGTACTACATCTACAGGATCCCCATTATCTATATTGGTTGTTCCATCTTCAAAGAACCCTAGCAAATTAGTCAAACATGATTTACCCTTCATAAAACCATACTGACTATGATGGTATATGTTTTGATTTTCCAAAGTCCTGTCATGACTTCCATAATTGATTCTAACAATTTCCCAACAATACATTGACCTCCTTCCAGATGGCCAAGACTGCACTGACCTAGGTGGCACCCTCGGACCAGGCTGGCCTGGTCTGGAGTCAGCCTCCACTGCTGGTCCTGGGGAAGAGGAACGCCTACCTGTGCACCTCTCTCCACCAGGACCTCCAGGCAGCAGTGATGGTGCACATAGGCTTTGTAAGATGGTGCCAGCATCAGGATGCCATAAATTCCGGGATATCCTGACAGTAGCGTGTTGCTCCAGGAACTGCATGTGGTGAGACAGGATAGAATTGGATGAGAAGGACTCCATTGGGTGGGGCAGGTAGTTAATGAGGTGAGCATGGTAAACTCGCTCGAACCCACAGTGAAAACATCCTCAAGTGCCAACTGGCACTAGCCAACAAACGTAAGACTCAGTCCATTGAGTATTGAGTCTTAAATGGTGAAGGACTGGAAAGTGTTGACCTTCAAAGGAACTTGGGTGCCCTTGTTCATGAGGCATTGACAGTTAACACGTATGTCCAGCAATCAATCAAGAAGGCAAATGGTATATTGACCTTTTAATACAAGAGGACTAGCGTACAGAAGCAGAAATGCAATCATATAGAGCCTTGGTGAGACCACATTTGAAATATTGTGTGTGCAACTTAGCTCTTCTTACATAACAAAGGATAGACTTCCTAGAGGAGACTCTCTTGTGGTACATGGGTAGTGTCCCTACCTCTGGGCCAGGAGGCCTGGGTTCAAGTCCCCCCTGCTTCAAAGGTGTGTCATAACATATCTGAATAGGTTTAATAAAAATATCTATCCTTCCTAAAGAGAGAGTGGCATAAAGTTTCACAATTCTCTCTGTTCTCACTGCCTACTATGCCTAAAAAGTTCAAGAATTCTACAGTTCATTTGTTAAATCTTGATCAAAATTATATAGAATTTTACAATAGAATAGTGTATGCACATAAATCATTGAAAATCTTGAAGAATGTTCAGTACTTACAAGGTTTTGCAAAATGGGTGTTGTAAACATGACATGTTGTAAATGTACAGTGAGGCAATAAATGGTAGATGGCTTGCCAGTTTCAGAACTAAATAGATATCAACCATTCCCTCTCTGTTCACTCTCCCAAAAAATATTTTTTGTTGTTGAATATTCACAATTGTCATGTTTTAGCTTTTAGTCATATTGAATTGAACCTGAAAAAGAAAATTCCCCTTAAGGAATCGTTAGAGAGCAAATAATGATAATTGTTATACATTAAATGCAAATATCTAGGAAAGCTTTGGAAATAAGAGAACATTACTTTTTCAGGTTCTGAACTTGCGTTGATTTCATACAATGCACTGCTGGTACTACTGGAAAAATGAGCAGCAGATGTGGGGAAAATAAAGGCTGAATGCCTGAAAGCATAAAGAAAGCACATCTTTTTCTGAATGAATGCTATAAGTTATCCTTTTTTTCTTTTGGAGAGGGAGGAAAGAAGACTTTAAGCACGTCTAACAAATCATTAAAGCTCTAAAAATATCATGAATTGGAGGGATAGAATTACAAAATACTGTGTATGTTGGTCCAGCTCACTCCTCCCCCACCCCAAATGTCTGCTGTAATACGTGGCTGATCTGATCTAAGTTCCATTTAAGTGAATAAGGAATACCTGTATGTTGATCTAAAAAGTCAAAATTCTTTTGTTTAATCAAGCAGCTGGCAGTAAAGGAATTTGTTTCGAGTAGAAATGTGAGCCAACAAAAGATCAATTTTGTGACTTGTATTGCATCCTTTTCTCAAAAGTTTTTGGAAGTACCTTGATGTACCAACTTTACCACGTAAAGATAACTGTTACATGTTTAGTGAGTGAATGAAGTATATCCAGTGTTACCAGGAATCTGTAACTAAGATGTTATCTTTGTATTTGTCTCCTGTACACCATTTTACACCAACTAATGTATAATAGAAAACGTACTTGCTCTTTTTTGTTGCTTATAAGAAACAGCTCAGTTTTCCCTGTTCATTAGTTATTCTTAAGGTGTGCTGGATTCCCTCTACTATTTGGGATGACATCAGACATAAACAAAAATGACTGTTCTTTTCGTGATAAATGAGTGGTTTCCTCCTTTTCTCTCAAGAGTAAAAGTTAGAGAAAGAATGTTGAAAGATGAAGGAATTCGGAGCAGCCCTGAAATAGTCAAAGACATCACTCATAGAAGACCGCAACAAATGGCAGTTCCTTGTATCTCCCTCCTGTCGGCATCTCCAACTGTTAATACAGTTAGTAAACCCAGTGCAATCCACCAACCCGGCTTTGTTCAGTCCACTGATACTGTGGACAGCACCAACACAATGACAGAAGAGTACAAAAGCAGCGTAGTTGGTAATCATGTACCAGGCTTTACTAGCCTTTCAACAAGAGCTGAAGGGATAAATGAGACCGAGCTTGGAGGAAGATGTGTTTACAGTCATGAATCAAAACTGAATGAGCCTGGTGGCACTAGGAACTTTTTGAAAAGCCGTAAAGCAGTTTTACCTTCTCAGGTTCGAAAGCAAGAGAAGAATCCTGAAGAAACTGTCTCTGTCATGAATGTCATATGCAGGGAAGGTGAAAAACCACATCTGGGGACATCTGTAATTGACTCGTACAAACCTACGGATATTAATCAAAGGAGGGAGAACGCCTTAGATATTCAGAAGAAACCTGGGGTACACTCCCATGTAGATGCTAGAAGAGGAAAAGACCTAGTCAAAGAAGCATCTCTTGAAAAATATAAACTAAAATGTTCAAGACCAGATAACCTGGAGGCACTGAAGATAGAGGTCTCAAACAGTGAAGAACATCAGGGCACCAGTACAGATGTCCCTGGTGGCGATACTGATACAGTGGACACAAGGGTGTCTGTTGCCAAACTTCGAAGAGCTTACCTGGAGACAGCCAATGCCAGCAGAAACCGGGACCTGTAGGTGGTACTTTGAATGCTGACTCTTTTTTTGCTCAATTGTTGTGCATTTGCACTGATAACAATTTAGAAATTGAACTTGCAAGACACACTTGAGCTTTAGCTTGCAGCCATTACTTTGTGAAAAGTAGTCATGTGAAATCTTAATATTGTAATTTGCTTGTTGCTGGCCTGTGCAAGTTATGATGCTGTGTAGTTGCTAAGTTTGTTAACTACCATGCATGATGTAAGCATGCAGTGTGATGTAATATATTGGGGGAATATTTCTCTGGGGTTCTTTCATAATTTTCTATTATTTTCCTTTCTTTCCTTTCCCTCATTTGCTCTTTTCGCTCTTTCTCTCCCATGCATTTTCTTTTCTGTGCTTAAAGCGAAGCTAATGTTGCCTTAGTGACATCAGGCCTTGACTTGGCCACCCCTGCTGAAACGGAGAATGCCCGTCGTAGGCCAAGACGTTACATTGCCTTTGGTGAGAATAGGAAGACCTCTGAGAGGTTTAGAACACAACCTATAACTACAGCAGAGCGACAAGAAACAGCTAGGTAGGCTGGTACCTGTGTATAAATGTTAATGTCTTTTGCTGTGCCCAATAACTTAAATTCATGTAGCTTGAAAACCTCCGGCAAATTTCCACTAGAATGCCAGGCAGCTATTTTCACTTCTGGAGGTAATGACAAAGAACCACGCAATTCTAGCCGTAACATTGACTTTACTCTATGCCTTCAATATCTACAACTGATGAAAACTATAAGGGATGAACAGTATTGGGTTGACTGTACAAACTTTGTGCTACTTTATCAGTGTCCTATAAGAGAACATTTTTGTTTCTGTTTTTTCTTTGGTTTCTGTTAGGATTTTATGCACTTCGAATGTACAATGAAAATAGAGTAGTTTTCAATCAATCGTTAAGTATCTATCCACTTTCCTTGAGTGCAAAACACAACTACTTTTTTGGCCATTAGCGCATAGATATTAAAACAATCAAATAATGCTGTAGAAGGTTTTAAGAGATTCAGCAAAAGCAATAAATTTAAATTATTATAGATGCCAACATTATGAGCTTATCATTGCAGCTTTAATTAATTCTCCACATCACATCAGAGCAGTAAATTCTAAATATCCAAAATAACAAATTAAGTAGTGGTAATGAATCCTAACTTTAATTCTGTTCCAACATAACTTATTTGTTGGTATTTTGTAATTTCCTGGCACGCTTTCTGCATTAATATATTTATGAATGATTAAAGACAAAGTCAGATGTACAATTTTTATCAAAGTAATTAGCTAACTTTTATTTTGTAGGCCAGGGCCAATTGCGGAAATGGAAATTACTGAAGGCAAGTATAGATTCTTATTTTTACTTGTATCATAAGCGAATGCAAGATTAGTACAATCTGAAGTGTTCTTAATTATATAAATAAATGGGGAAGTGTGGAAATTAGGGATATCGTGTATTTCATTTGTACAGTATATTCTATATCTCTGGGGGTTGGTTAGTTGGATTGGCTGGTCAGCTGGTTTGCAGTACAGAGTAAAGTCAACAGCATGGGTTCAATTTCCACAGTAGCTGAGATTACCATGAAGAACTCTCCGTTTGAACCTCTCCCTTCAGTTGACATATAGTGACCCTCAGGTTAAACCACCACCAGTTGTCTCTCTCTAATAAGAGAGCAGCCCTATGGTCTAATAAGGCCATAGCAACTTTACCTTTACTTTCTATATCTCTAATTGCCAGTTTTCAAATTAACAATATATTATGTCTATCTCTGTGTTGCTTAGTATGTTTGAGCCCAGATATTCAAATTGTGAACATTTTGGTAATGATTATCACCCAAAAGACTATGAATAGAAAATCCAGGCTCTAGTTTTATTCAGGCTGCTTTGCATATAAGCATTTGAAACACTTCATTGCCAAATTCCCCAAACCAGTTACTGTTGTATTGGAACATTTCATTGCAGTCACTAGAAGTTTGGTTTGTTTTCACAAAGAAATATACGAAATGAAGTATAGAAATGAGAGGATCCAGTTAGAAATATTTGTAGCTATTGCTACCTAATTCAACAAAAAATAAATTGTTGTTGCTTATCAAATCAAAGTTCCAAATTGTGAATATTTTAATGAGTGATATGTTTTAAGTCCTTTTTTTGGCTGTAACATTTGGGAAAGAAACATAAAGCTGAATCTTAACTCTCAAAACTTGTGGGTTGGAATTGTTTTAGAGATTGTAAGTAGAAGGGCTGCATTCATAAAATAGCTGTTATAGACCAGAAAAAGCAGAAGTGCTTCCTCTTGGCCAAATGAGCTCCCAATTTTCCCCTACTTCCCCTCCCCCATCCACAGAAAAAAACCATTCTAACAAAGATCAGTCTACTGCCTGAACCTCCTGCTGAGTTGATAATATGGAAGACGAATGGAATGTTGGCCTTTATCTTAAAAGGAATGGAATATAAAAACTATAAGGCAAAAACTATACAAGACACTAGTCAGACCACAGCTAGAATAGTGGACATGGAGATAGCAAGAACTGCACATGTTGGAGTCCGAGATAACACAGTGTGGAGCTGGGGGAACACGGCAGGCCAGGCAGCATCAGAGGAGCACGAAAATTGACGGTTCGGGTTGGTTTCCTTATCTAAAGAACGTTATGATGTGGAGGTGCCGGTGTTGGTCTGGGGTGGACCATGTCAGAAGTCACACAACACCAGGTTACACTCCAATAGGTTTATTTGAAATCACAAGCTTTTGGTGCAGTGAGAGAGCACACAGACACAAAGTTTATGGACAGAGAGATCAAAAGATCGTACAAATGGTGTGAGTGGAGTGTCAAATATTAAGTCTCTACAAGTGGTCAAAAGTGTTAGATGGTGTGAGTAAAGTGTCAACACAACAGCTGAATAACAAGTGAAGGCATGACCTATAATCCTATTAAATGAGGCAGAGAGAGAATTGCAAAAAATTAAAAATAAGATGGTACTGGAAACAAACCAAATGACTGGAATAACATGATAGGCATAAGAGTTCCATGCTGAGGGTCTAACTAAAGTAATGAGTAATCCAAAATTTTCAAACTAAGTGAGGTCATAAAAATTTATCAAGGTGATGGTGTCTAAACAGGAAAGTAAGGAAGATTTTACAGATATAGAAGAGTGAGGTGGGGTTATATATGGCATGACATGAACCCAAGATCACAGTTGAGGCCGTCTTCTTGGGTACGGAGCTTGGCTATCAGTTTCTGCTCGGCAATCCTGTGTTGTTGTGTATCTCAAAGTCCACGTAGGAGGACGCTTACCTAAAGATCGGAGGCTGAATGCCCTTGACCGCTGAAGTGTTTCCCGGCTGTGAGGGAACATTCCTGTCTGGCGATTGTTGCACGGTATCCATTCATCCGATGTCATAGCATCTGCATGGTCTCGCCAATCTACTGTGCCTTGGGGCATCCTTGCCTGCAGTGTATGAGGTAGACCGCATTGGCCGAGTCATGTGAGTATCTGCCGTGTACGTGGCGGGTGATGTTCCCACATATTCTGGTCGTATGATCTGGCATGTCTTGCAGAGGTTGCCCTGGCAGGGTTGTGTGGTGTTGTGGTCGATGTTGTCCTGAAGGCTGGGTAGTTTGCTGCGCATGATGGTCTGTTTAAGGTTTGCCGGTTGTTTAAGGACAAGAAGTGGAGGCGTAGGGATGATCTTGGCGAGCTCTTCATCGTCATTGATGACATGTTGAATGCTGCAAAGAACACGGCATAGTTTCTCCGCTCCAGGGAAGTACTGGACGATGAAGGGTACTCTATCGGTCTTATCCCGTATCTTGTCTTCTGAGGAGATCATTGTGGTTTTTCGCTGTGGCACATCAGAACTGGCAATCGATGAGTTGAGCATCGTATCCCGTTCTTATGAGGGCATTCTTCAAAATCTTTAGGTGTCTGTCACATTCCTCCTCATCTGAGCAGATCCTGTGTATACATAGGGCTTGTCTTTAATATGTTTAGGGTGAAAGCTGGAGAAGCGAAACATCGTGAAGTTATTCGTGGGCTTGCGGTAGAGTGAAGTACTGAGGTGTCCCTCCTTGATGGAGATGCGTATGACCAAGAATGAGACTGATTCTGAAGAGTAGTCCATGGTACGTCTGGTGGGATGAAACTTGTTGATATTGCTATGTAGTTATTTCAGTGATTCCTCACAACAAGTCCAAAGGAAGAAAATGTTGTCTATGTATCTGGTGTCCAGTGTTGGTTGGAGGTCCTGCGCAGCGAAGAAGTCTTGCTCGAGCTTGTGCATGAAAATGTTGGCTTATCGTGGTGTAAATTTGGACCCCAAGGCTGTTCTGTGTGTCTGAATAAAGAACTGGTTGTCGAAGGTTAAGATGTTGTGGTTGAGGATGAAGTAGATGAGTTTTAGGATGACGTCTGGAAATTGGCAGTTGGTGGTATTGAGTACTGAGGCTGTTGCAGCAATGCCATCATCATGGGGGATGCTGGTGTACAGTGCCGAAACGTCCATTGTGACAAGGAATGTTCCTGATTCGACTGGTCCGTGGGTGCTGAGTTTCTGTAAAAATAAAAAAATCTGTAGTGTTGCAACAGAAGCTGGGGTTTCCTTGTACAGTTGGTTTTAAGTTGCCCTCAGCATAAGCAGAGAGGTTCTCGCACAGGGTCCCATTGCCTGATACGATGGGACGTCCAGGTGTGTTGGCTTTGTGTATCTTCAGAAGTCAGTAGAAGTCTCCTATGTGAGAAGTGCATGGGATGAGAGTCCATAGGATACTGTGAAGATCTGGATCGAAGGCCTTGATCAGTCTGTTCGGTTGATGGGTATGTTCTTTGGTTGGATCGGCATGTATTTGTCTGTAGTGTTCCTGGTTGTTCAGTTGTCGGTATGCATCTTTGCTGTAGTCCATTCTATTCTGTATGACAATGGTTCCTCCTTTGCTGATTTGATTACAATGTTCTGATTGGTCTTGAGAGCACGGATGGTATTGCGTTGTTAGACCCTCAGCATGTGACTTTTATACCTATCATGTTATTCCAGTCATTTTGGTTCATCTCCAGCACCACCTTATTTTTAATTTTTGTAGTTATCTCTCTGCCTCATTTAATTGAATTATAGGTCATCCCTTTGCTTGTTATTCAGCTGTTGGCACTTCACTCACACCGTCTAATACTTTTGATCACCTGCAGAGACTTATTATTCGACACTTCATTTGTATGATATTTTGATCTCTCTGCCCATAAATTCTGTGTTCTGTGTGCTTCTCTCTCACGTCACCTGATGAAAGGGCTGTGCTCCAAAAGCTTGTGATTTCAAATAAACCTGTTACACTATTACCTGGTGTTGTGTGACTTCCGACTTTAAGGAAAGATATGTTGGCATTGGAGATAGCCCAGAGAAAGTTTATTAGACTGATTCTGGGTATGGAGAAATTTTGTTATGAGGAGAGGACAATTAAGTCACTAATTGCTCTGCTCATTGGACTATAGAAGGATGAGGAGAGACCTTACTGAAACATAAGATTCTTAGGGGGCTTGACAAGGTAGATACAGAAATGTCATTTCCCTTTGCAGAAGAATCTAGGACCAACGGGCATAATCTGAGAGCAAGAAGCCATTCATTTAAGACAGAGATGATGATTTCTTTTTTCTGTGAATCTGTCCCATTCTTTACTGCAGAGGCCTGTCAAGACTGAGTCATTAACTATACTCAAGGCTGAGTTGGGCAGGTTTCTAATCATCGTTAAGTGAATCAAGGGTTTGGGGAAAGGCAGGAAAATGGAGTTGAGAATCATCACATCAGCAATAATCTCATTGAACGGTGGATCAAATTTGATGGACTAAATGCCCTACATCTGCTCCTACATTTTAGTCTGTGGAGGCCGTTTAGTCCAATGTGCCTGTGCTAGAAAGGGATCCCTGCAACTAAAAACTGCTGGATGATCAGAAAGCTCATTCTTCCTGGTTTTCCAATCCAATATCTGTTCCTCTACATTTAATTTGCCCCTGGGATAAAGTTCAGCCCGTGATTTCCATTGTTCTGAGTGTATTTTATGATGGTTGTAATTGCACGTTGGCGAAAATGGATTTGGGTTGTTTCCCATCTCTTTCTCTGCTTCATTGATGCATACTTAATCGTCTAATTCTGCTGAAAAATAACTGTACTTTTTACTTCCAGTCGATGAAGAAAAGTTGGATGAACGAGCTAAAATGAGCGTGTCTGCAAAGAGGTCACTTTTCCGTGTATGTAATTTGTTTTTGTTGGTAATATATAATACTGAAAAGAAATGACTCTGATCTCATCTGAGACTGCAGCAACATCTGGTTTTCTGCCTGATTTGTGACGTAATGCGAAGTTTTTTTTGTATTTCTTAGCTCCCCTTTAAAATACAAATCCCTTACCCATTTGTTAATAAGCTTAGTTTTAGAATGGCCTTTTAGCTTTCTTCAAAGCACATTTAATCGGATTTATTAGCTCTTTGGTAAATTGTAATATCTACTGCTGTGCAATTTCATTTTATATTTCATGTTAGGAGATGGAAAAAGCAACAAAGGCAATGGATCCGTTTGTGGCAACCAAACCTCGATCTAGAAATTTAGCAGTGGAACGAAGATTACGTCGTACCCAAGATCGTTCCCGTACTCAACCTATCACAATTGAGGAAGTGGTTATCGCATCCAGGTAAGTTTGAAAAGACACATGTTTAATTTGTTATGTTAGCTTTGTGTGCAGGTGATTTTTCTTTTCCCCTGCTTTGGCACAAGGTTAAAGATTGGGATTCAGCCCTGAGCAGCTCATATGTCCTTTATATAGTGGAACATATTTCACATACCTATCATCTGGTGTGGCAACAGCTAAGGGCACTACCAAGAGAAAAAAACATTTTATTTGCTAGTTAAGGGCTGATTAATTGGGCACTTGTAACACTGTCAGCATATTCACCTCTGCCTGCATCCAAAGATATGGGGTCTGGCAATACAAATTTGCTTTTCAAGGAATATTGACCAGTGCTTAAATTTAGGTTTGTGGTATTTGCAGGAGACTTGATGACGATGATGGGTGATAATGGCTCTTCTTTTCATACAATCATCTGCCCTTTGTCAGACTGTACGATCAAGTATTCTGGTATTTTTTTGGTTGTGGTTGCATCCGATGGCTGGGTGGCACAGTGGTTAGCACTGCTGCCTTACAATGGCAGGGACCCAGGTTCGATTCCACGCTCAGGCGACTGTGGAATTTATACATTTCCCCCCCGTCCCTGCGTGGGTTTCCTCTGGATGCTCTGGTTTCCTCCCACAGTCCAAAGGTGTGCAAGTTTGGTGGGTTAGCCATGGGAAATGGGCGGGAGGCTGGATGTGGGTGGGATGCTCTTTGAAGGGTCAGTCTGCACTGTAGGGTTTCCATGATTCTATAATTTAGTGAGTTTTCCATTATTTTCTAATTGAAGTTGCCATTTGGTATTTTGTCTTTGTTCAGATCTGTGGTGACAGTTTGCTAAATGCATTTGTGGGAGACTGGAGAGCTCTCTTGCTGGACAGTGTGAAACAAGAAAGTTAGTTTTAGTACTGACTTTCTGAGGCATGGTTTGAGGATATCATTCTTTTGTCAGTATGGTTAAATGAGCTATTGCTGTGAATTATTTCTTCTTGGTCCTGTGACATGCAGCAGGGCACAAGTTTCATGACTGGGCTTTCTTTCAGTTAATGTGAAACAAAGGCTGGTTGCTTCCCTCTCCTGCGTCCACCCATTAACAGAGGCAAGGCAAAATGGATAATGTAGATATTTTCTAATCAAACTGTTCACCAATGCTGTGACACACCTCTGAACCAGAAGCCTCCTGGCTCAGAGGTAGGGACACTGACAGTGCACCACAGGGGCAAAGTGGATAGTGTGTCATGTTAAACTGCTAACAATGGTTTGGCAGGCAGTGCAGTAAGAAAAGGTTCACTGTCTACATGTTTAGCTAGAGGAAGATGTATGATGCAAAGGAGTAAGATTGAAAATGGGAGGAAAGCAGGCCACATTGTTTACTTTGACTTATAGATGTGGCCTTTTTTGAGGCACACAGTTCAAGGATGTTCAATATAATTTGGAAATGGATCAGAAGAGGAGTCTAATGCATTTTCTTAAAGTTACATGTTTATTGATGGTGGCATTGATTTAATACTGAACATCAGGCCTGTGAAATATAGCTTCTTTTTGAGATTGAATGTGAATCAGCTTCATGTAGAACTCATTTTTATTCCATTATTTGTCGTTATGTAATTGAAAGTAGTATGACAATGGTTTTGTGCTTTTAGCATGGTCAAATAGTACCCATGTAAATAGTTAAGGGCAGGGCACAAATGGACTGAAGAGATTGTGATATTAAACATACAAATTATTTGTAGATTTCATGACTTTATAAGTACTTTATTCATTTTTTTAACATTTTGTATTGGTTATGTAAACAGTATGAAAAGAGGATAGAATAAACTGCAGGTTTTAAAATTTGCTTGCTTGCCTCCTTCCTACCTTCTATAAAAGTAATGAAATATTCAAACTTTTTGAGGACTAGAGTAATTTCTTCTTATTTTTATCTAATCTGTGAAAACAGTAATGAAATATAAAACAACAGTGTCTGAAATAGATACCTACCATTTTTGAAGCAAAAACAGAAATGTGTGATCTTGAGATAGTAGGAACTGCAGATGCTGGAGAATCTGAGATAACAAGGTGTAGAGCTGGATGAA